CATGTCAAGTTTCATGCATGTTTAACTTAGATACAGAAATCTAGTATTTCGTTTTATCACTAATGGTAATGTGTGAATGTGTAAAATGTTATGTCGGTATTTGTTGAACAATGAGTGCACCAACAGTACTTGCAGTGTTTCATTATGTTTTATAATTCTACCAAAATGGAGATCGATCATACATAAAAGTTCACAATTGTTTATTGACAAAAAAACAAATGTACCAGCTCCAATATTAGATCCAAAATTCAAACAGATATAAATGTAAGATAGAAAACATTAAAATCAAAATTTTACCTTAAATCTGAAATAACCCCTTAACTCTTCATGTTAATTTGAGTATTTCCGATTTCTAGTCTAAAAATAGTAACTTCTTTTAATCAACTAATCCATACACATAAGGCAGATGACGTAAATGATTTTTGATGTCTGCATGTAATTAAACTTTCTATTTGTTTTTTAATTTCATCATCATCTTTAGGGAATTCTTTATATGGTTTATACACTACAGAAAGTTATGAGTTAATAATACTTTTGGAGATTTAATGTTAATACAACCCGCACTGTATTTACCTTTTGCAAATATATGACAATAATCATTTAATCATTCTTTCATATGGTCATTTACACAAGAATTTCACACACATTCTTTTCTTCATAATAACAACAAAAATAATTTAAACATATATTACAAACAAAATAACACCACCAAATACATCTTTTTAGAAACTAATTCAAAGAAACTGAACATTACAAAAATCTAAACAATGCTTGCAATCCTAAATATAAAAAAATTAATAATGTTTTAATTGTAAAGAAATGAGGACTGTAAAAAATTGTAATACCAGCATCTCTTTTCACAAAATTACTCCAAAAAACTTATATTGAAATTGATCACATTGGTGTACCATCAGTGCTAAATCAGTTATCTCCTTAATATTATCAGGAAGAAATAATACAAGATATTACAAATTTGAAGTATAATGAGTTTAAAAAGAAATTCCGTTGAATGCAAGCACTACTATCTATAAGCGAACCTTTTGATTTGTTATTCACCAATACTGATGGTAGTTTAAATTATTACGATTCTTCTAAAAAAGTATATCTACATTATTATAGTCACGTTTTTATAGATCATGCTACTTGTACAGATGTTATACATGAATATTTTCTTCTAAAAGTGTAACTACCGATACTTACATAAATTGCTTAAAAGAAAATTTTAAGTGACAGAAATACTGCATTTATTTATCTAAAATTTAAACACATTTTGAAAAACCATAATGTTACACAATTATTAACTACTGCTAATAGATCACAAACAAAAGGCAAAGTAGAAAGAGTTAAGAGGCTATTGCAAATTTAAGTTAGAATTTTGAGTTAGATATTTTTTATCTTACACACAATTAACACTACTGTCTTATTGAAAAAAAAAAAAAAAAAAAAAAAAACCTGCTCATAACTTAGATACTCATATTCCTAAGAAAGACACTACAGAAATTAGGAAAGAGTTAGCGTATAACATGCCAACTCTTTCCACCTCTCATACAGCCTTCTTATCACAAATATCCCCTTTATTTGTATATCAGTCTTCAGAGGCCAACTCAGATGTTGATTTACTCCACCCATCTTAAGATCTACTAGTCTCATCCTCACCCCATTCACATATGCTTACTAGATGCCGAACTAAGGTAAGCACATTATAGTAATTTATTTATTCATAATGTGCTGTATTTAAAATGCATTATTTATTAGTTTAAAGGGGCTTTGTTCCTGAGTGACTATTGTTTTCGTTTTGCGATTTTGTGTCGAATCACTCTGAATGTCCGCTTCACTTTTCAAACTGTTGCCACCAAATCGTACTGCCCCATATTATATCTGAAGAAATTAAATAGTGAAGAATCTGCATAAATGTATGCATGTTTCTCACATTGTGATAAAGCAATGGTACCTAGAGCCATCAAATTTTGAATGACATAATCCTATTGCAAATATGGGCATCTGGAAGTCCAAATTTGGAATTTGTTGTATTATCGGTTTTATATTTTATAAAAATTTAATGAATTTTTTATTAACAATTGTGAGCAATGGCAACATTGTACAGAAAAAGCATTTTTATCTCCAGCACATGAGACTGTGTATCGGAAATTCTAAAGATATACTCAAGTTAAAATTATTTTGTGATATTGCTCTTGAGCTGAATTTTATAGTTTAAGTGCAAAAAACATGATATTTTATAAATAAAGGTAACACATAAAAGATTTTTAAAAAATGCCCCTTTGGACATAACTTAAAATCTGAAATTTTCCAGATTTTCTTTTTCTGTTTAATATTTTTTATTGTTTATTTGATAGTATTTACAGCTTCTATCTTACAAATATCAGTAGGAGATACGAGTAGGAACCCAGAAACATTTAAAAAAAAATATATATACAATACATGTGACTTTTTTGCAATGTAACTCATTCGTAACGTGGAAAATATCCATGTATGAAAAACTGCATAAACTTCTGCTTAAATGAATTTTATAGCAAGATTTTCTTTCATTTCAATATTTATTGCAATTTTGGGGGTAAAATTTGAAAGTGATGAAATGCTTCTCTAATATATATTCTTGTATGAACACAAGGAACAGAATTTAAAATAATTATACCTTAGACCCATGTGCTGTCGGTGACATGGAAGCATCAGAAATGTTCTTCTCTGGATAACCTATTCCAGAAAGGAATTCAAATATACTTATTTTTTATATTCAAAATTCGTTTCTTTAAATACAAAGAAAATGTAATTTTAAACATACATAAAATAAAACTATTAAGGTTTCATATAATTAATGAGACATTTTAAACACTGCAAGAAATATACAATCAAAAATCACAGAAATTAAGGATAGATGGATTCTCATTTATCAAGTCTTTTTAGTTAACCTTACCCTTTATCTTAAAACATTTCATAGATATTACAATTACAGTAATACAAAAGTACACAAAAAAGAAATTATTAGCAGAATTATGAAAGTATCTTATACACCATTATATTTAAAAGTGTAAACAATAAAATGATTTGATGTGTGATATTCATCTGGATGTTAAAAATTACATAAGAAGAGAACTACTAAGTAAACTGTTTCCAGCAGTCTAAGAATAAATTAAAATGCAATGCTTACATTAAAAGATATTTACAAAGAAAATGCTTAAATGGTTCAAGAACTCATAAACCCATAAGGAACTAGAGAAAAGCTTTCAGGAGACGCAAAAATCAAATTTTGGTACTTACATATTCACCCAACCACTTTGGTACAATTTGGCGATTTTTTACAAATGAAAAATAAAAGATTATTATTGGGTACAAGCTGGATTGTACCCAATAATAATCCACCCAATAAAGATTATTATAATAATAATCCACCCAACAAAGATTATTATTGGGTGGTTTTTAAAACTTTTTTAAAAAGATCTCCAAAATACTTACATTTATTGCTAGTTGGCAAACATTACTGACATATGAAAAGAACATACACTTCAATAATTTGAAATACAAATTATAATTATTAAATAAGGATTATGTGATATGTTAAATAAAAAAACACATTTGTGTCCAAATCTTTCCGCATTTTTTTGTGCATTTCTTTCCTCCCAAATACATAGCAATCTGTTTTAAAACATTACAGAATTGCAGACTTAGCATTCCAGAAACTGTAGCAACACTGGCTAACTATTAAACGCATTGCCTCATTGCTCTCTTTAGAAATTTTACAACAAATTCTGTACTCCTATAGAAATTCTGCAGCAGTTTCTTTCACTGCTGGCAAATTACACAGGGACATATTTATAAATTAAATTTAATCACAAAATTATGATAATTTATAAAAACTGTTGGAATTTCAAATACAACTTAAAAAAAAAAAAAAAAAAAAAAAAAGAGGCACATGAAAATGCAGTTATTTTTTGACTGAAGGATTTTAGGAGCATAGTTATGCACATGATTGCCAGAGTTGAATGTTTTGAAAATGTGGTTACTTTTACTAAGGTAGTTGCGATAACACACAAGTACCCTAATTTTTTAAAATTAAACCTAAATCGCGTAGGTGGAACATGAAATTTTAAAACGTAACTTTATATAAAATTGTACATGCAATTATGCACCCAACTAACTATCAGGAAATATTTATGCATTTAAGAATTACATAAATGATTAAAAAACAAACCTTCATCAGATGCAATGCTGATTTCCAAATTGTCTAATTCAACCATACTCCTTCTAGCATGGATCTGTTCTCTTAAACGTGCAGAGGGAGCAGGACGTATGTCCATATCATCATGAGAACGCCTTTGCTCCCACATAACATGCTGCTTCTGTCTCCTCTGTAGCGTGTCAAAGTAGACTCTTTTAGGTAGAGGAACATTGCCAGCACTTTTATTTACCTTTCTGTAATCTGCATCCATAGAAATGTGAGCACTTTTAGATACTTGTGATTTCTGACCTTGCAAAACTGCATAAACACTTGCATCAGATTGAGAATATTGAAGTCCTGACATAGGATTACAATTAATACTTTGATACTGATTCTGATGCTCATTTTTTACACCTACATTTGACATAGCATGCAAATAGTCTGCTTGTGCATCATATACATTTTCATAATCTGAAAATGTGTTCCTATGTTTCACAGTTCCATATATATTTTGATGCATGTGTACAGGTTTTTCTTTAACAGAACTATATACATTACTTGTAACATGGGTCAAAGGCTGCACATTTCTATATCCTATAGATTCTGGATAAAAATGCTTTCCATATGGTCTAGGATGAGAATATAAGCTGTCATAAGTTGCAAATGGGTATGATCTAGACATATGAACTTCATTTGGCAATGATGAACCATAAGTTGGTTGATTAAGTTGGGAATTATTACTATTACGATGAGCAGATTCTGTTAAACGCTCATCTGGATACCTATACTCCTGACTGGAATTTTTAGTTGCCTGTAAAACAGGATGTTGACTGGAATGCTTTGGTGATGCAACAGAAACAATATAACGACCACCATCCCTTTTAATATTTTGGTCACCTTTGTACACTTCAGACTGTGGAATTCTTTCTTGGCTGCTTTTCAAATCATAATGAAATGTTCTTGGAGGTTTAGGAGGACCTGGTGGAAATGAATGTTGTTGCCCAATTGGCACCATACAAACCAAAAGAAGTATTTTGATTATAATGTGACTGCTGCCGAGTCTCAACAGTTGCTGCAGATTTAGGTGTTCTACTTTCTTCACTAACTTGATTATATAATGTAAAAGATCTATTTGCTTCTGAACTGACGGCTATTTTTTGAGAAGAGTCAGAAGTACAAGGCAATATCTGTGGCCCAGAAGTAGATCTCTGTAAACCATATAACGGTTCTTTATCATAGCTGTTATTTTTGTTACTGTCATGAGCATATTTCACATCCTTTAATATTAATTTAGGTGTATATTTGTCATATTCTGTAGCAGTTTTATCATAAGGAAGTGGCAATTTATGGTACACAGAAGTGGATGGATGTATAGAATAATGGGATTCATATAAATTTCCAGTACGTGAAGCATTAAAGTTTTCTCTGCTACTAGCTTTCTGTTTTTCACATTCATACCTTGCATCTGAAGCAGTTTGGCGTGTCACTGGAAAATACCTTGGATCTGATCTGTCTGCCATAGTGCTAGTACTACTTGTTGTAACGGTGGTATTTGAAGAACTTGCAAAAGACGTATTAGTTTGCTTACTGCTGTCCGCTACATTAGAAGCAATTTTACTGCTGTTTGGAGAGGCATCCGTGACAGGATTTGCTGACGGCAAAGAAGAAGATACAATGGAATTACCTTTAGAAGGATGCCCACGTTTAGACTTAGGAGGTGGGCTATGAAGAAGTAAATTTTTAGAATTAATATTGTCTAAATCATTTTTTGAAGTTTCAGTTTTAGATTCAGCAGTTTTAGGACCATATACAGAGGAAAAGCATTTTGCAGATGTACTTTTTAGAGTAGAGGTTTCAGGCCTAATTATATTACTTTTTCCTTGGGGTGTTAAGTCTCTAGTCTCTTGACGCTGTGAAAATTTTACAGGTTGCACAGTATTACGAAAAATATATTGTTTTTCAGTAGTAGTATTCATATCATCAATATATGACTTTCTGGAGGTTAAGTCAATAATAGCACCACGAGGATGATCGCGTAGCTTATCTTCTATTTGGCGTATATTTTTCTGGGCCAGTGAATTTACATTCATATATGTACAATCAGGAGAAAATGACTTATCATTTACAGCAGATTTCCCAGAAGAATAGGCTAGTTTTGGATGAGTCTCATCAGTTAAACTCAATTTTGGTTTTACTACTTGCTTGCTAGTATCATGAGAACGAGTGGTACTCTGTTCTGGATCAGAAAATGATTGATTTTTATGCAACACACGTCTTTCTACTTCTTGTGAATGTCTACGATATTCTCGAAGAGAGTCTTCAGAATTCCAGTCCTGACTAGTTGCAGCAGGCACAGCACTTTTAACAATCTTATATGTCATTTCATGGGGGCTCATGACTTTATTGGGTGTCGCATCACTTGAAACAGAAGTGTTACAACTTTTACTTTGAGATTCTGAAAATGCATGGCTTAGTTTTGGCATATTAATCTGAAATCTTGGCACAACATTTTCAGCTAAACTCTTTTCAGCAGAGTTCTCAGAATGAGGAAGAGGTACAGCAGGTTTTTTCTTTACTGGTAACTCAGGAGGCTTTTCTTTTTTAAAGGTAACAGACTGACACTGTCTTAGCTTTATTTTGGAATTAGCTAGTGCTTCAGAATTGCTCTGTATTTCACTAATGCATTCTGCTTTTTCATTTGGTTGATTTTTATCCAGGTAACTGACTTTGACAGTATCTTTAAAAGTATCAGACGGAATGGAATGTATTCGATACTTAACTAAAGTTTTCTGTTTGCTTTCATCAGCAATGTGATGGAAATCATTATTACAGTTTCCTAAACACTGTGTTGAATAACTATTTTCTTTGCTATTGGTGGAATGATCTTTGTTATTATCTGTTGCAGATGATGATTTACTATACTTTAATAAATACTTTTGCTTATTATCCTCAGTAATCTGTAATTCAGCACTGGAATCTATTATGAACTGCTCTGAATAACCAGAAGCTTGAGCAGATTCTACAATACAATTTCCTATAAAATGCTGAATGTTCGTATTGCCGGAATTTTGAAAGTTATGAACAATGTGACCATCAGTTATGTTTTTTGGGCCAATATTATCTTTCCTAGCTGAACTTTCTTCATTACTAGTGACAGAAGATATTCCAACTTCTTGATTTGAATTAAAATTTTGATCTTCAGCATCAGAAACTGTAAACTGTCGACTAGAATGGCTAACATAATGACTGTGGCTTCGAAAAAGTGGTCTTCGCTGTCGTGCAGAATCTGTAAAATCTGTATTTCCTTGAGATGTTTTCTCAAAAAGTGCTTTTAATTTTGCAATACTGGGTCTTCTTATTACAGTAGCTTTTCCTACAAGTTTTCCAGCATGAGTATCTTCAGGGGAACTTGTCTTTGGAGAAGTATCAGACGTAATGTTATCATCACATAAAATGTCTATTTTGTGAAGATTATCAGTGGGAACAGACCCATTATCTGTTTTTTGGATAAATGTTAGATCATTAGAAGAGAGGGGTTTTGAATCACACATTAAATGATCAGAAAACTTTTTAGTTACAGGACTTTTTGAAGTGACATCATTATCACCATGAGTTTCTTTTGGAACTGGTTTAGTATCATCTGTCTGCTCAACTGCTTTGTTCCATCCAGATATTAATCTTTTTACACTTTCTTCTCGGCACAATTTCAATAATATTTTAGAATTTCGTGAACACAGATTATCAAGTTCATTATCAGTGACTTTAATGTTATGTTCTGACTTTGAATTTTCAACTCTGTTGCAGCTGACTGCATTCTTTGTATCTTGGACCTCATTTTGTCGACTGTCATTCTCTGATTTGCAATAAGCAGATTTTGTAGAATTAGGTAAATTTTCAGAAGATTCTTTTTTAGAGATATATGGCATATCTTTATTTTCAGATGCTTGTTCATGAAATATTTTGGAAGACTGCAATTTTCTTTCTTTAAAAAGAGAGAAAGGAAAATAATTATTAAAATTCATGCACTTCAAATAGAGAGAGAACTTGTATGTTAGAAATTCATAACATTTATGATTATTATTATATAACATACAACAAAAATACAATTACAAAACATGCAATATAAGGTAAAACAGGCAAAGTATTTATTTTATCATGAAGAGATTATTTTTCTAGAGAAAGAGATAATGATAGTTTTGATATGTTCTGAACTGAATTCTAGTCTAGAAAATATTGGCAAAGGGTATGTTCAGCATTCACACAAAATGAAGTCACCCTTTCTCATAGTACGTGTTCTTTCTTATTGACTTGCGATCTATCTGACCCATGCTTATCACAGTTTAAAGAAGAAATCTGGTAAAATTTTTAATTTAATACCTTCTTCCCCTGAATCTGAAATTACTAAAGAAACTGCATAAAAAGAACAAGTTTTACAAAATATGAAATCGATAATAAAACAAATTCCAAATTTGGGCTTCCAGATGCCCAAATTGGCAATAGGATTACGTCATTCAAAATTCAATGGCTCTGTGTACTGTTGCTTTATCACAATGTAGGAAATATACATACATTTATGCAGATTTTTCATTATTTAATTTCTTCAAATATAATGCAGGACTCTTAACATTTGATGACAACAGTTCGAAAAGTGAAAAGGACATTCAGAGTGATTCAACACAAAACGAAAACAATAGTCCCTCAGGGAAAAAGCACCTTTGGACTAAAGAAAAAGATGCCTTTCAGGATGTTTTTTACCCTAGTATAGGCCCATTCACTGGAATATTTGATGCCAAAAAACTGATCTGCGCGAAAAAATAATTTTTTTTTCTTTAAAGAAATTTTAAATGATATTCATTTTATAAACTCTCGATAACGCAATCTTCGAACTTCAACACCGGCTTCGAGCTTTGGCGACAGATATTTTGCGCATGCGCAGCTGTTTCCCTCTATGTTGGAACGGAGCCACTCCTGTTACAGAGAAGTTTTCCTTCTTAAATACTTATATAATCTTTGATTCTAACCTCCATGGTACCGTATAATACTATGACTAATCCGATTTTGTTTTATACGAGAGTAAGTATTTTGTTTGGTTCAACATGCACTGCACGTGTGATTCTTCAGGTTACTGGAAACCAAAAGTTGCTGAAAACTTGCTTTGCCTTTCTAAAAGACAATGTAGTCGGAGCTGCAAAAATTGACTCTGTGCCAGCTGCCCGAATCACGCTCATAGGATACACAATTTGCCAAGAAAGTGATCGTTGCCAACAGCGGTGCAAAACTCGCTTTTTTGGGCAGATCAAAGAAATTCAGACTTTTCCAGATTTTGACTAAAATATTTAAATTCTCTGACTTTTCCCTGAGTTTATTGGTCAATTTTCGAACTGCCTGACTTTTTCCGGTTTTCCATGTAGCGTGGCAACCCTGTTATTAAAGACACACAATTATTCTATTGTAAAAGATTTTGGATATTTACTAATAAGAAAGATGATTCAATATCGTAGGTAAAGTAGATACACTGCCAGTATAGACAATAGTATTTCTTGATGCTATTTTAATTATATATTGGATGGCTATTGTAATAGCTAATGCTTCAGCTTGAATAACATTATTCTGTTGCTTGAAATGTCCTTTACATGTATAAAGACCCCATTCGACTTCTAATTATACAAAAGCACTGCCAAATACTTCCATAATTTGGAGCAATCTGTTGCACAGCCAATATACAAAAAACACATACATACATACACTGCACACACACAAAAAAAGACAGTTCTATATCTCCTGTTCTACTGGGCCGATTGACAAAATTCAAATTCTGTTTTTCATGTCTCGAAAGTGCGACTTAGGATATATATTATATTTAAATATAGCACTGTTCTAATATAGTAAATGGGGCTTTTTCGAAAACAAAATACCATTTTCTTTTCCTATTTCGATTCTACGATTCAAATTATGCCTAAATATTAGATTTTGCAAAATTTACGAAGAAATTCACAAATTTATCTTGCCGTCTTTTTTTCAGTTTGCGTCAAGAATAATTCACTTGGTGAGCTTCAACATATGGCAACCCATTTTCCTTTCCTTTCCAATCTGAAGGACTTTTAAAAATGTCACATCGTTTCCAGCTTTTTACATTGTGCGTGAGCGGATAAAAGTAACATCGTTCACCTTTCAAATAATTTTAACAAAGTGCCTAAACCACATTTGATATTATTATCGCTTTCAACAAATTTGCCAAATTTCAAAACGCGTCAATATATAAATTCCCGTATATCTTGAGAAACTTTAAAAAAATTTTTTAATTTTTTGCAGGTATGTTTAGAAATATACCTAATTTCAGGTAATGGTAAAAATTTTTTAAAAATTATTAAAAAATACAAATTTTAAAAAAAATCATAAAAAAAGGGCAAATTTATTTGGAATGAACCTAAATTTTGAAATGTGAAAGGAAGACTCAAATAAGTTTAATAAAAAAAGAAATATTAATAAATATATACCAAACTCAATTAACATTGAGGAGCTAAAATTTTGAGAGCTGATTTTCTAAAAACTACTGGTGCGATTTTAACAAAACTTGGCAGTTTGGCACAATTTCAATGCTAGGATTGAGATATCGAAAAAATTGGATTGTCCTTTCAGAAAAAGTCCGATTTTGTGTCAAAATACCTAAACTACAAAAATGCTATATATATATCTAATACATATCCTAAGTCACGCTTTCGAGACATGAAAAATGAAAGTTCAATTTCGTCAATCGGCCCAGTAGAACGGGAGATATAGATTTGTCGGTTAGAGTAGATTGAAGGGTGCCTCTTGAACTATCACTAAGTTGTTTCATTTATCGCTAAGTTGTTGTTTCATTTATCGCTAAGTTGTTGTTTCCTTTATTACCAAGTTGCTGTTTCATTTATACAGTCTTTAATCAGGACTCGTCGGGACTTTGGCGATTCTGGATTATAGATCATCAGTTTAAATCTGGTAAGATGGCATGCGGAAATTATAAAATTAAAAATATGAAACCGTAATTTATGAAATAAAGAGCAATTATGATCTAAAAGGTATCAAAATTTACAAAAAAAAAAGTTTAATATTTGTTTACTTTATTAAAGATTTCTTTCAATGTGCGCATGCGCAAAGCATACATTACGCATAGTCGAAAATAGAAAATTGCAACCAGAAAACCATTTGATGCGTATTCGTGATATTTATAATAACGAGGAAATTGATTTAAATTATATCGGAGTACATCGAGATGAAATACTACATTTTAGTAAGGAATTATAAGCCGAATAAAATAAAAACATCTGCCCTGAAGATGAGGATAGTGCTGACAGATCAACTTCCAGTTGATTGCGCGCTACGACGTCCCCACCCCCCGCAGAGCAGTGTGAAATTGATAAACAGATTTCAGAATGGTTAGAGAAACAAAGGATATGCCTTCATTAATTTTTTTTGCAGCAATTCCACTTTTTGTTTGATGGACATCGAAACATGCTTTCGCTTTGCAGATCCTTTGGGAGCTCCAGAATTGGAAACTCTTTTTGACATAATCGAAAGTTCAAGCTTACTTTTATAAAATTTTGCTAACAGTCTGCAAAAAATAATAGGCCAGATCCAATTTGAAGATTAAGGAACAACGCAATCTGCAACATTTACTGAAATAGATAATTTTAGCTTAGCTTATAGCGTCCGTTATACATTAAACGAGCATGCGTAAAGGTATTATGCGCATGCGTTTACGCAAGCACAGAAAGTTTGTAGCTTTGAGGTCCGGATTATAGATCATTCCAAATTATGGTTGTCTGGATTGAAGACTTTTGACTGTAGTAACCTGAGTAGTTGAATGCTATGGAAACTCTATTATGAGGTAACTGGTTATATGATTGCGGTGAATTTGAATGATGGGCGGATTTTGGTTCGTTGTTGTTTTGTGGTTTACAGGGTAAAATGGCTAAATGTTGTAAGATTACTTTGAAGTTTCTGTGCGATTTTGATTGAAAGGGAAAAAAGCATTAATTGACTGGTGTGTAAATGTAGGTTTACGTAGTTGCCATTATAAGTGTCCTGTTTAAGACACAATAACATGCCGAATAAATACTAATTCAGAAGTCAAACAACAAAAATCAGCGTTATATTTACAAAATTTTAACAGGACTAGTTTCGATGGTTTTGGTTTTGCAGCTGAGGATGGTGGTTCGGTAAAACCATCGAAACTAGTCCTGTGAAAATTTTGTAAATATAACGCTGATTTTTGTTGTTTGACTTGTGAATAAGTGTCCTGTTTGTAAGGAAATGCATATGGTCGAATGTTGGAGGATACCTGCACTATGGAGGATATTTTTTACTCTTATTTTTGTGAATTTATGTGGCAATGCCAGTACACAGATTCTAGTTATAACTGTAGGAAGTTTTTAGATGCTGTTAAGGAATTTTGTTTGGCTGAAGACAGGGAAATTTGTAAATAAGGTAAATGGATATTTCCTCTGTGTAGTGCTAAGATGAATTTTTTTTTCTTTATGTTATTCCATTGCTTGATTTAAAATGTAGTTTATTGAAATTATATAATTTCTGTTGGCTGCTCCTTTGATTTTTAAATGATTATAAATCGATGTGTACATTGACAAAGTCAAGAGAGTGTGCAAATCTGTGATTTTTTTTTTTTTTTAAGTGAAAATAGGTCAATGTGTAAATGGATACCAAGTTTGTGAAATTCTTTGACTTGTTATTTTGGATTTGTGTGGCGAATTATCGTTAAGGGCACCCATAAATATATTTTTACCGAACTGTCCTATTTTTTAATTTTTTTTATTTATTTTTCTGTGCAGTGTACATACAAATATATTCTAAAAGGAAGATTATTGCAAGCATAATAAGGCCCTGCCAGTGGCCAAGGCGGCTGAATACTAGGAATAAGAGTCGGGTTCAATCCCAGGGTAATGGGCTAGCTCCATGATCGGTTTTCATAGTTTTCTTTGCAAATAACATGAATATAAACCAATTTTTCTTATAAAGTACCCCAGAAATGCAGCCCTACGTTAGGCAGATAGACCTAACGCTTTGCCTTGGCAAGCATAAGAATGAGGCTTCATAAATTTAATAGAAAATTAGAAATATAAGTGCTAATATATGAATAAAATAATAGTGTATAAATGCTAATACAGGAATACAATGCATAGTGCGGCTTCATTCAGTGCAGACTCAGCTACAGTACAATTAGTAATTTGAGTAATTAATTTCATGCAGTGCTTTTTACACTTTTTCTTTTTCTATTAATTTTAGGTAACTAAGTAAATATTTTTGTTTGAAAAAATTTAATAGGAACAAATTACTAATTTTCCTACAGAAATAACATCACAGTTAGTGTGGATTCATTTACAGCAAGTAATTAACAATATTAAAAGATAATGCATAATAAGTACTACATATAAAATAATATAAATATGAAATAAGCTTAAAAAATTTGTTTCTACTACTTCTTCAACTTTATTGAAAGAAATATATATATATTTTGGAGGGTGAGCAGTTTTTTTTTTTTTTACTGTGGAAGAAACTTGACAACCTTGATGCCCATTAATCCCTAATTACAAAATTAAAAAAAAAAAAAAAAAAAATCAAGTAGCAACAAAATGTTTACTATACATACCCTCAGAAGCATATGGTTCTTCTGTTAAAGGTGGTTCCAAAATATCTTCATATATATCCTCCTCCTGAAATGCATAATACATCTAAATTAGATGAAAGTTCATTTTAAAAATCCCTAAGTTCCAAACACAAAATAGAAAGATAGTGACGACAGAAATTTACCAATTATTTACGAATTTCATATTGTTTTATAATTTTAGTTTGCTCAGCTAATGGTTAAGCCCTTTTAGAAAGATGTGTCAAGAGAGTAGAAATTCCCAACACTACATTTTTTGCTATGAAAATTTACTTAAGTAATATATTAATAAATATTTTTTATTTAAAAAATAGATGATGTTTTATTAAAATGAATTAATACCAAAATTATAATTAACATAAAATTATAATCAAAATTTACAAAAAAAAAAGTTTAATATTTGTTTACTTTATTAAAGATTTCTTTCAATGTGCGCATGCGCAAAGCATACATTACGCATAGTCGAAATTAGAAAAATAAATTTAAAATTTTGATAATTAATATAAAAAATAAATTAACAGACTTACAGCACAACAATTTTAGTGGTCAATGTGTGAATGGCATTTTGCAAAAATGTGCACATAATTGTATATTTTTTCAATTTAACCAGTCTATATTTAACATAAAATCCATAAATATACAAAAAATGAAAGATTAGAAATAATTTCTGAAAATTATATGTATTTTTAGTGTTTTTCCATAATGCGCCGCCACTCATTTTACCAGTTTTTAATTGTAAAGAATTTTTGCATATAAATAAAGTTTGTAGATAGCAGTTTATTAATACAAAGAATTTTTTTCATTTTTAATGACTAAAAAAATTCATGTTGAAATGAAGGAGGCAACTAATCAAAAGACATAAATTTACAAATATCTGCTAGCAGGGCAGAACACATTTCGGTCTTTGGAAATACATTCCGCCATTTACTGCTGCCCAAAAAATTTTCAATAAATTTGCGTATGACAACCCCTGACTCGGTCAATAAAATGAAATGAATGATTTACTGTATAGTTATATCCTACAGCTTTTAACTCAGATTACTTGTAACCTTTCCAGCAATCTGAGGATATCACTGCTTCATCTGCTATATCATCCTCTACAGCATCCATTAATCTTATCAAAGTGATCCAGAATAGCAACTAGGTAGCATTCTCCCAATTCTTGACACAAACCTCCCAAAACCCATCATGGAGGTAATATAAGACCTAGATGGTTTGATTTTCATGAACAAACTTTCATCGATTTTGACCATTTTGTTAATACCACAGATCTTAGTTTCACCATGAGACATCAAAGAACTGCAAGAAACCTCTCGGAAGTAAGAATAGTCCATTGTGTTGCAATTTGCTTGAAGCTGTCATTCCAAAAAATTGATGGATGCCAGCTCTTTGCATCACAAATAAATAAATTGTAGACTACTGAGAAGCACAACCTATGAGTTCTCAAACCAGGTTCGTTTCTGGATGCTCCTGCATAACCAAAGATAACAAAACCATTTAGCTTGAATATCTGACTTTCATCTGAAGCTTTTTTAACATGTATAAGATCTTTATTGTGAAATAATATAATTGCCACTTGCTCATAATTTGGTAAATCCCAAATTTTCAAATGAATGGCAGTAAAATACAAAAATCAAACAGATGGAGGAGGAGTTAAATTTGAAAGAAATGATTTGCATGAGGGAAGTAAATGGACTCCAGACGTAAATGAATAGTTACATACATTTAAATTAATTACAATTTCATTACACACAATGCGCGGCAGGAGCACTATGAGTAATTCGTCACCTATAAACTATTCTTATAACTAGAAACTGCTTACAATTAAAAAAAATCTGATGTGTACACCACATGACTTCCTTGCATGGAATATTAAATTATACGCATTTTTTCTTATATTTAATTTAACTTATTGGATTGAATTAAATCTACTTTGCCGACAGCGCATAAACCACAATAGAATAAATGCATTCTTTAAAATTCACTCTAGTATTTTGCTTACCATAGCGACACTCTGGCACTAGATTCATTTAACAGTATTATATTTTGTTCATATTATAACTCAAAATGCACAAAATTTATATCATTTAAACAATAGAATTATCTAATCGTAGCCACGTTTTATTCAAATACTATAATAAAGCTAGAATGATGTATAAAAGAAATTAAGCAAACAAAACAAAAAAGAAACAGTTTTTCACAGACAATTCAGTATTTCTCATTCAATTAATTCAGTTCTCACTTCGCGAACAAGGCAAAAATACATAAAACTCAAGCTGTCTGTATTAAAAATTACGAAGTAAATCTTAAACACTTATTTCCTCGAAAAAATTCCAGAATGGATTAAGCATGATTTATTCGCAAATAATAAATGAAGGCGTTATCTTTGTTGTTGCGAAGCTTAGTTTCTCTAGATTGGCAACAAATCCACTAGTTCTGCTGTTCTTGTTTCAAATGTAAACAAGCAATAAAAGAAAGCAATGGCGTCATAAAAAAAAAAAAAAAAAAAAAAAAAATTAGGCTTAGCGGCACTTAAACAACTTTAAAATTGTTGATAATTCTAAAAATATTGCATAAAAACCTTAACCGGAAGATAAAAACAACATAATTCAATCATTTTTAAAGCAAAAAATGTACAATTAACAAACATATAAGAGTAAAGAAACTGAGATCACTGAGCCGGGTAACAGAGTGGAGATATATATATAAGTATAGTCAACGTTTGGTGTGGCCGATTGCAACCAAAATACGAGGTGCACATCTAAAACATGTTATAGCAGTCCTATATACAAAATTTCAACATTCTGAGGCTACTCGTTTTTGAGTTATGCGAGATACGTACATACGTTCGTACAGACGCCACGAAAAATTCTCTTCAGAATTAATGTTAAAGCAGTTTTATAATTTTTTTTGGAGGAAACAAGTCTTTTATTCTGTCCATACATATGTCACGCAACACATCATTAAATTGCATTCGATAGCGGTCAAAATGGATATTTTTGTTGAAATATGATGCCTGAAACTTCTCGCAATTACAATACTTCGTACAAGGAAGTAAAAAAACCTAAGTGCATAAATGAAAAGTATCATTTAATCTAATTACATATTTTACAAGTCAAGATTTTAAATCACAAATAATTATACGAAGAGGAAATCAGAATCTAATATCTTTATATTATCAAATATCTTTATAAGGTTTATGAATTCTGATTTCTATGGAGGAGGAGTTAAATTACTTTCATTTTAGAGCGACAAGAGATATATTATATAATTCATCATAAAAATACTAATAATTTATTTAAAAATTATGAATGCAAAGATATATAAATATGCTCAGCAAGCTTAAGTTCTGAATCGGACTTTTTTTTTAATAACACGGTTCTTCATTTGCCTATAAAGTTTACTTTTCCAGTGAAAATGCTTCAAAAGTTTTCATATCTAAATTTAGTCAAAATAAAGTCTGTTCCTTTTTTTCAACAGAAAAAAATTATTTCACAAATTACATTTGAACACTGTATTATTAAAAATGCAAGCATCACGGTAGGTGATATTTTGTATTTAATACAACTACTCATCTCTTTTGATTTTGTGATATCAATATGTATATCAGCAATTATCTACTTTACATACAAAACTCAATTTCTACCTTGTTAAGGTATTTTCAGCAACAATGGAATGAAAAGTATTTATTCATCATGAAATGAATAGACAAATACCAAACTTCAATTCTCAAAACTTGTCTGTTTTAGAAACCGACCATTTAGAGAAAATTCATCTATTGCATATGAGCATACAATTACAAAAAGAGCCCACACTGAATTTTAAGTTCACTTCGCATCTAAAAAATATAATTTTTTTCTGCCCTAATCATTGAATTTTCATTTTTTTGCTTAATTCAGAAGTTACTGATGGTTTGTGAATCTAACAGCAAACTCATTAAAGATTCAACAAGTTCTCTCCTTAATTTATCTATATAATGAATTTGCCATTGTAAATTAATATTTATTGTTCTAAACCAGGGGTCTCCAAACTACGGCCCGAGGGCCACATCCGGCCCGCGGACAGATTTTGTCCGGCCCGCGGAGAACTAGCATACTTGAAAACTCCTTTTAAAGAACATATTTTTTATAGCAAATTAAATTTAGTTTACTGAAGTATTCTAATTTTATGTTGAATAATTATTAATATGACATCTACATTGATATGGTCATGGGCTAACTACTCAAAACATTGTTGTATGCTTATTGTTATTGCTTTTGTGATAAGTTGGATAAAGAAACACAGAATTGTAATGAGTAAAGACATGTATAATATGCAGAAAATTTAACTTCAGTATATAATAACTAACAAATTATTGAAATGAATCCAACTAACATTTTATACATTTTAAATAAAAAACATAACTTATAACAAGCGTGATGAAATATGAAATACTAATGAGATTTATGTAATGAGATTTTCCACTGACAATAGTTTGTAGTTGTGGACTAATTTTACTTCTACCAATTATTAAAAGAGATTTAAGATGCTCATCAGTTAATTTTGATCTGTAAACATTTTTTGTGTACTTCATTTTGAAGTCTTCTCACACAAAGAAGTAGTACCAAAAACAGAAAAGCTCATGAGCAATTTATTGCAAATATCAAATTGTGTCAGTGGAAGACTTTAGAAAAATTCCAAAACAAATATGAGTTTTGATATTGTTCTTAATTATATCACTGCATTGTAGATCAATCATTCCATTTGAAGTTCCGGGGCTAGGGTTTCAATGTCAGTATCAAAAGGATTCTAAAAAATCTTAATTTGATTCGCAATGGCCATCAAAGTTGAGAAACGAGTATCAAATTTATTTTCAAAGCACTCAAAAGTTTCGATTGCAAATCGATAGGAAACTCAGTCTCAGTGGTGTGGCTGAATATTTCACACGTTTTAAAAATGTGAAAAACATTTACTTCATAGTTGTGATTGAAACAGTATCAATTCTTCCGGAATGATTTGATATTAGTGTATAAATCAGGAAGATGCTGGTTTTCTCCTTGCAATCTCAAA